ACTGCCCAGAGCCCTCGCCCCTGAGTAGGGAGGGGGCAGGTGGAGGGAGGACACGACCGTGGAGGACTGGGATGCAGGTGCGCCTCTTTTACTCTTCCAGTAAATGCGGTTTGTCCCTCCCATTTCCTGACTCGGGAAGGAGGCCCTGATCCACCTGGCATTTCCCCAGCTTCGCCCTCCTGTCTCCCGCCTGAGGGCCTTTGAACTCGCTGTTGCTCAGCCAGGGGTGCCTTCCTCCTCCACTTGGGCAGTGTCTGCTCCTCCTTCCGACCTGGGACCTCCCACAACTCCCTCTGCTTTCCTCCCACATGTCACACAATTCCCCACAATGTAATTACATGCTTGTTTGGAGGCTCCTTTGCTTAATGTCTGTGTCTGACTCCCCATCAGGCTGGAACATCATGATCAGTGGTTCTCAACCCTGGCTGCACATTAGAATCACCTGGGAATCTTTAAAATCCAGATTTCTGGGCCTCATCCTCCAGAAATTCTGTTTCTTTGTTACTAATTTGTGGCCTCACCCCATAACAAAGAAACAGAATTTCCGGAGAATGAGGCCCAGAAATCAGGATTTTAAAAAGATTCCCAGGTGATTCTAATGTGCAGCCAAGGTTGAGAACCACTGATCATGAAGAAGGGGCCTGGCATCACCTAACCCAGTGGTCGGCAAACTCATTAGTCAACAGAGCCAAATATCAACAGTACAACGATTGAAATTTCTTTTGAGAGCCAAATTTTTTAAACTTAAACTATATAGGTAGGTACATTGTTATTAACTTAATTAGGGTACTCCTAAGGCTTAAGAAGAGCCACACTCAAGGGGCCAAAGAGCCGCATGTGGCTCTGTTTGCCGACCACAGAGTCCTAACCACTCAGGCAATGGGTGTGAAATGAATGAGTGAATGAATGTTCCTTGAGTATTTGCTGGATGTTTCTGTCCAGGTGGAGCCCAGTGTGTCCCTTCCAAAATGGCTGGTTGGCTCAAGGGTCACAGCCCTCTCAGAGTTCCTTAGTGACAGGCCAGTCTAGGGCCCAGGACACGCCAGCTCTGCCCCCAGAGATGAAGATGACCCCAGCTATGCAGAGAACCCTTACTGGCACCCTGGCAGGTGCAGGGCATCCCACACCACTACTGCATGACCTCTCCTGGCCTCAGTTTCCCCAACTTTCCCAGGGTTCAATTAACCTGCACAGTCTCTAATATTAACAGTAACACCAGCAATAAACTGATGAGTTGTATTCAATGAGTTCTTCCTCTGTGCCAGGCACTCTTCTGTGCTAAGCAATTTACATGCACCATCTCAGTTCTTAAAAATATTTTTTTGTATTTTGACATAATTTTAGACTTATAGAAAAGTTACAAGAGTAGTAAAAATACTTTTTAAATGCCCTTAACTAGATTCTCCAAATGTTATTTTACTACATTTGTGTTGTCTCCATATATATAGGCATTATTTTCTGTTTGAGTAGATGGCAAACACAATCCCTCTTTGCTCCTATATACTTCATTGTATATTTCTTAAAAATAAGGAATTATCTTATCTAACCAAGTACAAGTAGGAAATTAGCATTGAAATGATACTGTTTAAGCTATTGGCCTTTTGTAAATTGTCCCAATAATGTGCACTCATGCCTTGCACTCACTGTCATGTCTCCTTCGGCTCCTTCAATCTGGAATTGTTCCTGAGTCTTTCTCTGTGTTTCATGACACTGCCAATTTTTTAAGAATACAGAATTTTTTTATAACTCATTTTTAAATTCAGGTAAAATATACATAGCATATAATCCACCATTTTAATAATTTTAAATTATACAATTAAGTGGTTTTTAGTATATTCACAATGTTGTACAACCATGACTACTACCTAATTCCAGCACATTTCTATAATTTCCCCCCCACCCCCGCCTCCGCAAAGAAACCTGCATCTATTACCAGTCAGTCATCATTCTCCCCTACCCCTAATCCCTTGGCAACCACGAATCTACTTTTTGCCTCTATATATTTGCCCATTCTGGCCATTTCTTAGAAATCAAATCATACCCTATGTGGCTTTTCCTTGTCTGACTTATTTGGCATAACGTGTTCAGGGTTCATCCATGTTGAAGCATGTGTCAGTACTTCAATCCTTTTATGACTGAATGATATTCCATTGTATGGATATACCACATTTTGTTCACCTACTCATTGGTTGATTGGCATTTGGACTGTTTCTACTTTTTGGCTACTATGAATAATGCTGCTAAGAATATTCATGTGCTCATTTTTGTGTAAATATGTTTTCAATTCTCTTGGGTTTACACTTAGGAGTAGCATTGCTGGGTCAGAAGGTAACCTTTTTGAGGAGCTGCCAAACCGTTTTCCACAGCAGCTACACCATTTTACATTCCCATCAGCAGTACCAGTTTCTCCACATTCTCACCATTTGCTATTTTCCATTTTTTTATTATAGCCATTTTATTGGGCGTGAAGTGATATCTTGTTGTGGTTTGTATTTGCATTTCCCTAATGACTAATGATGTTAAGCATCTTTTCATGTGCTTATTGGCTATTTGTATATCTTTTTGGAGAAATGTCTATTCATATCCTTGGCACATTTTTAAACTGGGTTGTCTTCTGGTGTGTTGAGTTATAAGACTTTATATATTCTGGGTTCTAGGTCCTTACTAGTTATATAATTCGCAAATGTTTCTCCCATCTTGTGAATTATCTTTTCACTTTCTTGATAGTGTATTTTGATGCATAAAAGTTCTTAATTTTGTTTTTCTTTTTTTCTTTTTTTTTATTGCTTAAAGTATTACAAAGGGTATTACATATGTGTCCTCCCCCCCCCCCACAAGCCCCTGGCCTCCCCTCCCCCCCAGTGTCTTAGCATCCATGAGGTTAAAGCAAATATCCCTCCCCCCCACGGACCTTTCGTAGAAGTCTGACCGACTGCCGCCCCTGCCCCCCTCTTTCCCCGCTACTTTGGGGACCAAACGACAGAACGCCTTTTATCCGCACTCCAGGCATCTGGGCTGCAGATTTAGCGTGAATGACTGCAACAGATAAAGATGGGATTGGAACTTTAGGATGTCTCACCCAGGAAAATTAAGGGAGCGCCATGCAGGGTAGCAGGAGTTAGTCCGAGTTGAAGCTGCTCGGGAATCAGGATACGGTCGACGAGTTGGCCCCATCACCCACTGACAAACAATGAACTTTCACCGGGTGCTCGCACGGGTGTGTCCAGAAGGTTCCCTCATAGCAGGGGAAATAGT